ACGCGAAGGTCGTGAGTTCGATCCTCCCATGGGCCAATTCTTTTTTTATATTTTATTTCATTCTTATAAGGTGAAACCTATAAGAAAATGTGGCAATAAATTCTTTTAAAATTCTCGAATAATTTTTTTTCTTTCTTTAAAAAAAATGTTAATTTTTTCTGTTTTCATATGTTTTCACAAGTTTTCTGTTTGATGTAAAGATCATGATTTGTTTTTGTAGTTTAATTTATGGAAGTTTTTTTCAATTCACTTAATTCAATTCCAATTAGAGGATTGAAATACTTTTAAATATGTTGAAATCATGACGTTTTTCGTTAGTCAATTTAGATTTCTCGATGTTGGTTAAAAGTGAATGACTAACTAACGTTTGTAACGTTTTTTCAATGAAAGAAGTTCAAATTATAATTTTTTTGTGTACAATATTTGAAAAAAATACATAAATTAAATAAAAAACTACAATACTCGTAAATCGGATGAGAAAAAATGAATTGGCCCATGGGAGGATCGAACTCACGACCTTCGCGTTATTAGCACGACGCTCTAACCAGCTGAGCTAATGGGCCTTCGAAATTTAACTGGTCAATTCACACAGACGAGATCAATGGGAATGAGAATGGGAATGGAATAAGCGACTAAGTAGATAAGAATCATTAAATATTTGAAGTTAGTTCGACGTTTGCTTTATGAATGAAGATTGATTCAATATTAGTCTTCATAATTTTAATTCACTTATTTATTCTTTCATCTCTGTGTGGGTAATAAAATAATTCATATTTGCCCAAGCTAATTGTTTGTAACAATTTTTAGCGCCGTCCAATTTCACAGGGCAATCTGATTAAAGAATATTTTATTCTGGAGAACTTCCATATATTGAGCATAGAACATCATTTTGTGTTGATAAAAAAAACCTTATTTTCGATTACGCTCTCGAAATATCAATCTTCTTACAATTTATTTGACATTTATTCAAGCAGTGAGACAAAATTGATGGAAATAAAAAACAAATGAAGTCAACCAAAGAAAAAATATTGATTCGGAATAATACCTTTTCAATAAGGCAAGCACCAATGTCTAAACTCCTTCAATCTTTTACGTGTTTCTTCTGAATTTTCACACTTTCACGGAATGTTTATTTTGGCGAAATATCAATCGAATTCGTTTTTAGTTCGAATAAATAATTTTTTTTCAACAATGAAATTCTCTTTAACTAGAGTTTTTTTTTCAATAACTAATTTTCATTAACGACTTCGATATTTTTTAAATTTCTTCGAAAATTGTTTCCTTTTGATTACAATTCAAGTCGAACACTTTAATAATATTCTGCAAAGATATTTTCCCTGAAAAAAATAATCAGTTCTTTTATTGAAAGTCACAAAGTCACTGGTGTATTTGTTGTGTCCATTTCGGATGGAATCTGCGTGAAAATAAACTTCTATCTGAATGAGCTCGAATGAAATTGCGATTATTTCGCTTGAAACAAGTGAAATCATTTTAATTCGATACGAAAAGTGACACCCGTTGAATTTGTGTCACAAGAGGGGATGCTGTAGTATAAGCATGAGATAGAGTCGGATGCTATAAAACAGGGGTTGGATGTGGTAGCATATGGTCGTTGAGCACAGGCGCTGTTTACAATGGATAGCAGGTGCTGAATGATGCAATTCCATAGACAATATCAAGGGTGAATATGGACCGCCTCCAGATGAATCAAAGTGGGCTGTCGCATCGTTGCGCTACTGTTTCATATCGAATGATTCTTCTCGGTCTGATTATTATAAATTGATGAGCATGTTTTCATTTTTTGTTATAAAAACGAATTCGGAGATGTTTTTTTCGCTCACATTTTATACGAAAATCGATAGAGACATTTTTTTGTATGACAAAAAATAGAATGAGACTTTAACTTTTCAGACAAAAAGAGAGATAAGTTTAAAAAGTGGAAGAAAAAGAGAAAAAAACGTGAAAAGGTTGCAAATTTGTCGACAAAATCAAAAAATAAGGTTATAAAAATATTCCTTTGTGCAAGTGAATCCTCGTACGAAAAATAATTTTAATTTAATAGATATCGAACGGTAATTTTGACTCATTTCAATGACAATGGATAAAACGGATAAAATTTAAATTGAACGATTGAATGCATTCCATGGCGGCGGTTGGTTGCGGTGTTGTTGTTGCATTGGAATGTGACCATCGGCAACCGATATCGTTACTATGCACTGGTCGCCAAGCAGCAACGAATTCCGGCATCGATTATACACTACACGCTCCCGCTCGAACAAAACTGCCTACGTACAATATAAATAAAGGCTTCTTTTTGATAAACGATGGCCCGTCGTGTCGAATCCAATCGATAAGTTTGAATAGTTTTACTGTGGTGTTTTGTTGATATTGGCTGAATTTGTGTCATTTTTTAGAATTTAAAAAAATAAAATTGAACTATTTCTGTAGTTTCTGTTGCAAAATGTTGTTGAGCCGTTAAAATTCTCAGGGGATCTGATTGGATTTGGTTAAACCATCGTTGGATTTCTGTATTGACGCCTATAGCGATTGATTATTTTCATCAGACCTGCAAAATGTCGGGATATTTTTCAGCAAATCAGGTAAGTTTATCGCGAATTGATGATAGAAGTGAATGGAACATGAAATGCCAGTTCCAATTCATAATCCTTTTTTGCATCGAGGGAAAAAACGAATTTTATTATCGTAAACAATAATTTTTGACCTTTGAAAAAAACTTACGAAAATTATTCAAAAACTCGAGCCAATTTTGCAGGAGAGTTATGATTTGCATGGCAATCGTCAATTTCTGCGACATTCCAACAATGACGTTATTATTGTACCCAGTTATTTTGTCATAAATCATGTAAATTAGTAAAGTTTTGATGAGCTAAATCCGTTCTGAATGTTGGCAGAAAAAAAAAATTGACAAACTTCAATAATTACTTTGTGAAATCCTTCAAAGAGACCGAGAGAGACTAACACGCAAATTTCCAGTCGATAGCAGAGCCCAAAGGGAAACGAATCAATTGGCTGAAAACATCAGGAAACCAAAGTTGAATTTCTATCAAACACTCATAACATATTTGAGATATGATACCCAATTGCAATGAATCGCAAACAAAACCAAATAAACTGTCATCATTTGCTGTAAAAATTTAGCCTCTGCTTTGAAATGGCGATAAAATCTGCGCATACGTAATAGCAATAGATAAAATTCGATTTATACTTGTTCGATTTCGATCTAAAAGTAAAATGAACCACTATTACCTCTTTTCTGTGTCTAATAATATCTCTGGCCGAAAACAAAGGCGGAAAATAAAAATTGATCTTTCTGAACCATAAAATGTTGTCGCAGCGGAAAAATCTAGGTCGGGTTTGAAAATCGATTCATTCATCTTTGCCCCGAAATGACGTTGATTTTGTCAACGAAAAATGGCGGTAAACAAACCAAATAGACATTTAAAGACCACTTGAATTTCTGTGCACGACATTCCTTTTTTCGTTCGTTCGTTTTTGCAGCATGTGCAAATTTCGCATGACTCAAGCCAAGTTGACAACAAATGACATCGCGTGAAATGTTATTAGAATATCGCCGAATGTCGTTTTGTCACAGAACATTCTTTGATCACTTTATTCCCGAAACTTTTTCGCTTTTTTTCTTCTTTACTTCTTCAACGAAATGAACACAAAAAGAGGATGGATTTGGAAATTGGCGCTCATTCGGGAGAGAAACGCGATCGGTAACAGTGTAGCTTTTGACTGTGATTCAGGAAATTCGATTTGGTGAGACGTGGTTTTTGATCCGGAAATATTTTGAGTTGATTAGAAGATAGTTTGGGTTTCTCATCATAATGAATTGACTAGAGTTTTCCCATCGATCGGAACAAAAAAGTGAATCGTTGTTCCCTTTGTATAGAGGAGTAACAATACATCCCGTTGCATACCAAAGAAAAAGGACCCTTTGCATAAAGAAAAATATGACACAAGTCCAAAAGTCACACAAAACAATTTTGATAGATCACACAATTGAGAAATGTTTAATAATTGTTTTCCGTTGACGACGGCACTTGTGATTTACGGTTGTTTGCCTAGTCATTGAGTTGTCATCGTATTCAAATTAAAAATTCAAATGAACAAGACGTCGAGTGTCAACCGTAACCACTGCAGCCGCCGCCGACGTCGTCGTCATCGTTGTATGGGTGTTGCCTTCGATGTCACTCTCATCCATTGCGTGCGAATGAAATTTAATCAGGTTCAGTGTGCGGTGGTGTCGTGTTGCATATGCGACTCAAATTTGAATTTTAAATCAAAATTTCAAATCAAATCATCGGTTTGCCAGTGTATAATTTTGTGGTCACGCGCATTTCACAACAAAACTCCCAATCGACAACCGATGTACATTCATTTAACCCCTTTCTGCGTTCACCTTCCATTCAATAGTGTGATGGGCAAATTATGGGCTTGCTTCAGGATTGAATGGTAGCGTTAGGCGAAGAAAATGGATTGCGATGAAAAATTAAAATGTGAATAATTTGGAAGAAAGAAAAGTCCTCCTTCAAAAGAAAGGAAGAATAAAGGAGAAAAATGAAAATTGAAAAAGGAAAAAAACTATTTGAAAGAAGAGAAAACACAAAGAACAAAAATATTGCCTTCAAACAGACCAACCAACACTTCTGTGCAAGTGAATCCAAAACAGAAGACGGAAAATATAGATTTGATGAAGCAAAAAACAACATTTTCTGATCTTCGTCGCTCTTTGCCGCCCTAGTCAATCAAAAAAGTGATTACATTTCCACGCGACCGAGTTCACCGTAACACTACGACATCATCTACAAGGAGGCTATCATGTGCCTAATCCATTATCACTTTATAAATAATTAAATTTATTCGCCAATTACACAATATTTCACACGTAATATGTACTGGTGTGGTAGCGATGCGTCTCATGCACAAGTCGATTGACAAGGGGGCGATGACGCATTACATTCGCAATTGTGTTTATTATCCCATTGAATCGGGTTCTTTTGTTATTTTACACCCTTCGTCGAGTGTATCGAGTTTTAAAGAAAAATGGAAATTAGCCAACATTTTCGCTGTTTGAAAATAACAAAATAATTATAAACGACCCAACAACGAAACGATTTTACTCCATTGAAACGTGGTACATTTTTCTATGTGCTCGATGACAAATTTTATTGATAGGCGCCACGCTGACAAGCGTCAGCTAGGGACATGGTACGTCAACACAAATTGATGGAGATAGTAATTTCGTTTCAATTACAAAAGTGTGATGCGTGTGAATGGAAAACCTTCATATCTCACCACTTCTGTTATACTGGTATCGTGTAATTCCACGACAAGTCAGTGGATTGAATGAATGTTCAAATCAAATTATGGATTCCGAAATTGTTTTGTGCAGCAAGCAGAATAAAATGGAATGAAATTTACTACTTCGGTCCATCGGTGATAATTGCATGATCGGACGATTCGTATGTTTTCTCATCCGTTGAAGATGTAAATTGTCGTGTAAAATCAATTGTTGCTTCTTTATTTCGATACCACACGAGACGAAGATTTGCCACTGCTTTAGTCTCTGGGGAGCAATCCATCAAGTGCGAACGACGTACAAAAATCGATGCTAGTCACTAAACAGAGGGTTGGACAGTAGGCGGTACCATTACAAACAAACACACCATGTGTTCAACGCACTTTTTTATTCATCAAATGGATGATATAAATTAGGACCAGATTAGACAAGTCAATCCCGAGCAAAATATTTGCTTGTTTACTTGTTCAACATCATTTTTTATACACAACCCATTTAATGCTAGCAGTTTTACCCTTCGCAATGAATGAAGCGGAGAGAATGAAGAGACATCGGTAGATGGAATAGAATCGAGTTCCAATGTCATTCTCTCTTTACGAAATGGATTTTAAATGAATCAATAACAATTACGCGTTGTGTTTTTTTGGTGTAGACGACAAATTTTACTGCATTTTGGATTGAATTCGCAAATCGTGGAAGAAAAAGAGAAAAAAAATTGAAAGATTTTGAATCAGAGTTTTTTTCGGGCAAAATAGGTTTCGTACGTTGACTTTTCTCGTACTTCTAATCAGAATTTTATGCTACATCCAACTAGAAAGTCTCAATTTTCTCATTTTTGCTCTTCCAATCACAAAAGTCGACTCACTACAGACTACAGTCAATTGACTCGAAGAGTATTCGAGTCGAATACACTTAAATTCAAAAAATTACTTCCAAAAATTTTAGCTCCGACGATTTGAAATTTACCATTCCTATAAAGTTCTCTACCTTTGAAAAGAAATTGTTTAATTGTTTGTAAGACGTGTGTGGTAGCCTTGCAATTTTCGCTAACCACAACCAGCTTAACTGGCCCGAGTTAAGCAGAAGAAGCAGCTGGCAGCCGCTAAACACCGCAACTATCATTCGTAATGTAATCCTAAATTTGAGACTTAATTCCAACAAGTTTTATCTCTTCCCTCTCTTCGCCCCTTTTCTAACATGTGTTTTATTCTTACTTACTTACGTCCCTCATTCTGTAGCACCTCTTGGTGTTCCAACAGAAATACAGTATCACTGATACTCTCAACAGTACTATGGTTGCTATTGTTTCGAACATATTTCTCCCTTATTCTGATACCGTTGTTATGTGCTCATGGATTAAGTGGAATTACCGTCGAACTTGTATGTATCAATGACTGCAAAGGTGGCGTGACTTTGACGCGTTTATTTGGCCATTTTCCGATGACCAATTCCATTTCACGGTCATTTCACTCGGCACATTCAATCGTCCTCTATCTAATTGATAGGTAATTACGAATTGATTGACAATTTCGATTGACGACCAAACGTTTCGATTGTCAAACTGTGATCGCCACAGGGAAAAAATCGCTTCAATTGCATTTAAAAAAGCAGTGATAGTTTTCGGAACCTGTTTCGTCTTACCAAACACATTTTATCTCTATCGAAACATGTGTACAAGTCATTCGAATCTAATCCATGTTTGTTTTTTTAAAAACATTTGTTTACTTTTCGAATCGGAATGATGGCACGACAGAAAAAAATGAGCAACAAATCCTGTGCAATCAATTAATCATGAGTTATTACAATATAAACATACGAATTTCATTGGCATTGGAAGTGGGCTCGTTTGGGCTGTTTTGATAGTCGTGTCACGTTTACGTTGCTTCCAACGTAAAGTAGGGTTGAAATTGACGACATATTTGCACAATCAGAACAAAATTATGATTTCATTCCCTTGGTTGATCGATTTTTTTTTTCACTGGTGCAAACGTGCACGATATGCCACTGTTTCTTCTTCTATTTTTATTCATGTTTGAAAGTCTTCGAACGGAAATTTGCATAAAACAAATAAAACGTAGGCTAAATAAATACTCTAAGAACAAAATTATGAATTATTGCTGATGATTATTTTTGAGGCGATTACTTACAGAGATTACGATAATTTCGACAATATGTACGTCTCTTTTGATATGGAAATGTTTGAAATTGAAATAGAACGTTTAGAGGTGGAAGAAACGACAAGGGATATCGATCGTCTGAGTTAATTCTATTACGTCAAACCGAATTGACACAGTTTTTCGAATTCGAACAACCAGCTGGAATTAGACCAGTTTTTTTCTAGGTTTATTGGCGTTAAGAAAAGGATTTGGTAGATTTCTGTCGATGTGAATATTCATTGTGGTTTCAATTTTTTTTGGTTTAAAAACAAACAATTTTTTGACGATATTTTATTCCGAACAGTTTCCTTTGACCTAGTAAACTGGGGCCCTATTAGTAAGACTTTCTCTTAAAAAACCACTTCTTTTACTTCTAGAAATGATATGTTTTCCATCATTCAATAAAATAAATACAATTGTTTTTTCTTCAAAAAATGTGATCCAAAGAAAACCGCAAAACATGTTTCTATCAAATCAACTAGATCTAGACTTCAGTCGAAACTAAAAAAAGTTTTATTCAAAATAACAAAAGAGTTTTTAAAGGATGAAAATTTAATTTAGTTAAAATAAAAAGGAATAACACTTTTTACTTTTGAAGAAACAAATCTTTCTATATTTTGTTTTGCTTATTTTTGATGTCTTATTTGATGGAGGGAGGTCAATTGAAATCTAAAACATTGAACAATTCATTTCTGAATAGTTTGAACGTGAGTTTGCGCCACAACATCTTTGTAACTGGGAAGTGCCAAGACACCACCGTCCACAGCCACACCAGCGGAAAGGCAGCACTAAAGTGATATCAAACGATCGTGGCCATTTATTGCCAGGAATTCCAAGGTATTAGAGTTATTCTTAATTGTTAACTTGGCATGAAATATGAAAGGTAACTCAAGTGATTGAGAAATTCTACGACTGATATATTGCAATATATTTGTATTCCATAATTAATGGTAATTTACCATGGCGTTTTTCTGTTAGAACGTGAGAATTTTTTTATTAAATTATTCATTATCTATCATATTTCTTACCTTATTTATAACTAAATTTCGTAACTGACAATTTTTCTTCCATAGATTGAATTCCCGAGAGCAAGTGTACGACTTGAGTTTGATTAAAAACGTGGTAATTAAAATCGTTGCAAATATAGCATTGTTGTTACATTTTCGAGTTATTTTCAGGGCGGAAAAAATCCATCAAAAAAGAAAGACTCGAAGCATAAAAACAGAGGAGAAAAACAGCGGCAAACAGAGGACAAAGAAAAAGTACAACTTGATACAAATATATTGTTCAAAATATAAAAATATGATAGAAAATCTGCAAAAAAAAACATCTTAATTTTGTTTTTAGGATTTATCGTACAAACCAGGTGATTTGACCGAAGCAGATCAACAGCACCACAGTCGGTCGATATTAGAACAGAAATCTCCCATTCGATTACCCGAATTGAATGATTTATATGTGGAGAAGCCAAAAAATGATTTAGATTTAAAAGCGTGTGACCAAAGAGGTTGTTATGAAGCTGAACAAGGATCACCAAATTCGCTCACGGAACTAATCGAACAATTGCCTCAAATCGACCGAACTATGCGACAAGAAGTATCAGAAAAGCCAGGGGAAAGTAATACAGTTCCGTTGATTCCAGCGGCGTGTAATTTTCAAGCCGCTCGGAAAATGGCACAAGAGAATTTAGAGCATCAACCGCTACCTGACTCAATTATGGATCGCACCTTTCTGAAAATGCAAGCGCAGGGCCTTCTCAACCCGGAGTTATCATTGAATGTTGAACCGTCGGCAACTGGTATTTTGAGATTTTCTTAATTTTATGCCATTCCCACTGGATTTTTTCAAATTATAAAAAATATCCCAAAGAACGTGGTTGATCATCGGTTGATTAATACATTTTTCCCATTCTTTCCTAAACACAAATCAGGAGTCGGTGTTCGAACCCACAATGCCGGACCAACGCATTGCACAAAATTAAAAGTCTATCGTCCGAAAACGTGTGGTGTGGTACCGCCGCCAATTGACAGTCGAAATGGTCATTCGCGTCCACAAACTGCCTTCAGTCACAAAGCAAAAATTGATCCAATGGATTTGGCGATCTGTTGGGATTACACGCCCAAAAACCCATTGGACGAACCGAAACCAAGTGCTCACATCGATGGTACAAATGATATCGTCGCACCGGCCATTTTTAGTGTAGTACAAACACCAAAAGCCCTCGATGACTATAACACTGGCCGTTCAGCTGGTGTATTTACCCATACAGCTGGCGAAGAGAGTTTCTTTGACAAAGATATTATGCTTCGAAATAAAAATTACTTCTCAACTCGTCTGGAGAAAAATACGGACCGTGCATGCAAGTGTTCAGCCGATTCGCGTTCGCATAGCGCCAGTCGAAAAGCGTCACAACAAGAACGACTACAAGCCAGTAACCGATGCAAAAGTTCACCAAATCTGTCGGTTCTGGTACACCCAAGTGAAGGTACGACCAGAGAGAGTATCATCGTTTGCAATTACAACAAAGAACACTACCATTACCGTCCCGAACCAACGAAACATCATCGTCGACCCGTCGTTGCTAGAAAACACATTTGCTGCGAAAAATCTCGAACGGCTCGACTCTGCGAGCAAAATGTGCAAAAATTAAACCAACAAATTGTCGAAAAGTTAGAGTTTAAATCGGCATTTAAAGCTGGCGTGCCAAAGAGCCACTCGAGTGGCTTTTGTAGCAGTGTTGATCACACGTCCAACGGCAGCAATTCCACTGGATCCGAATTCACAACCAAAGTATTCAAAATTCCAAAGCCTCGACAACCGTACGCAAAGAAAAACTATACCATTGACACGTTGGCACCACCGTTTGCCTGCTGGAAAGGTGGCGCCGGCCAGGGCGGATATCCCGAGCATTGGAGACTCGCAAGTGTTTATCAACATGCATACAAACCGATCGATCAACGCAAACGACCACTTTTAGCTACGGTTTATCAATAAAACAGAAACATATGGATGTAATTGAGTAAATTTACTTTTCACTTTGTGGTTGTTTTTATCATTCAAAATGATTCAATGTTCATCGTTTATCTTATTCTTTCTTTTCTTTTCAATTTCTAATCGATTCGCTTGAAAAAAAAAAAAACTAAATAAAATTATGTTAAACTCTCAATGCCCATTCCTTTTCTTTGAGTGACTCGTATTTTCGCAAGAAATAGCTGGTTTTATGTGATTCCCACACGGCAAGCGCTAAATGGAACCAATTTTTCTCGGTGAATGCAGTGGTTTGTTGATTTGGAACGGGGAATGGTGTATGTGGGGTCATGAAAATTCGCTGACGAAACTCGGCCACTAGCATTTCTATGTCCGGATGCGGTTGGTAATGGTTTTTGTCTGGAAAAAGTGATAAGTTTTAGTATTTTGGAGTAGTTTTTGGACGTTTCTAGTTGAAAAAAAAACGAAAAATTTAAAAAAATCGGTTTAACCGATGGAATTTGCTCAAACTGTTGAATCAACGAATTCCTAGGACTCCAACTTGCACAAAAAAACATCCTCACCATTTCCATCAATCCAGGGAAAATAGAAAATATCCATTTCATCATCATCATCGCCCATCAATTGTTTCACAGGGCTTCGGTTTGACCGTAGCATTTTCAGGCCGCTGCACTGGAAAAATGTGCGATACAACTGCTTGGTGCGATGTTTGGCTTCGACAAGAAAATCCCGATTTTGGCATTTATTTTTAAACAGCAAAATATTCGGTGAATGTCTTCGTTCGTTCAGATCATTCTCATAGATGTCAACTATCATACTTTCGGCATTCAATAGCAATCGCATCAAATGTAAATTAAAGCCACAATCCTCGACTACGATCAGTGTATTGCACACGTTCAATAGAAAAATGAGCATTTTCAGGTCATCCAATTCGTTGAGAATGGCTTCTTTTTTGTATGGATTACACAGCAACGGAGAGCAATCGAGTAGAATCGTACGATGGCGTGTTATATACATTTGAATACCCTCGGTGCAGTTCATGTTTGACAGTCGTTCTTTCAATTGATTTCTCATTCGAAATACACCCGTTTGACCTGTTATCAATTTATCCACATAAGCAACGTCATCAAAATCAGTCACATCATCGATCAGCATATTTAAAATGAATGATTTGCCCGAGCCTTGTGTCCCAATCACACCAACAACGCTAAAATCCGAATTGGTTTCAATCAAAAAGTCTTGTGCATGATTCTGAATTTGATAATGATCCGAAATGATGGAAAACGGTTTCTTCATCGATGACAATATGTTTTCGGTGGCAGTGCTGTCATTGGAGACGGTCGGTGGTGTGTCTTTGCTATCTTTAGTTGTTGGTGGTGTCGGTTGTAATCGACTGGCTTTAATTGTATCAACATAACTTGCTCGATGGTCAGGTATTGGTCGCGATGCAATACTTATTTGTGTTGTTGTCGTTGTTGTTGTTGGAGGTGTATTTCTACTATGCTCCGGTGTTTCTTTCGGTTTGAGCAATATTCGCGGTTTGTCCGGTACGGATTTGTCATCTTTATCACTTTTCTTTGCCAAAATTATCGGCCGCTTTGGCTCCTACAATGGGATTTTTTTTAACATTTCAAAATTTAAATTTTATTGAAACCAAATCACAGTAAAATGTAATGAAAAATAAATCAAGTTAGCGAAAAATGTGCCAATTTCCTTACCTTATTTTGATTGGATTTTCTGTTGCGTTTATTCTCCGACATGGTTCGATTGTCAACCGTGGCAAAGTGTCAATTTGACAATTGAACCGAACCTCGGCGAAAAAAAAAACCAACACTGGTGTTGCCCGCATCGTGCCCAGCCATCAATTGTCAAATAGAGTGAGTGAGAGCGACAGCGTTTGTATGTATGCGTGTGCATGTCGGTAGCTACACAGCTGTTTGTGCGAGAGACCAGGAGAAACAAAGGCAAGAGAGTGCTGAACGCTTGGAAGGAGGAAAAAAAAGAAAGAAGAAGCAACGTCTCTCATATGTGTTGTGCGTAGCAAAACCAGCTGAACCTGCATACATTCGCACAAACACACTCGGGGGCAATAGGCAAATCAGTGAGCACGTAGTGAGCTCAGTTGGGTCTCATCCATTGGCAGCGATGAATTGTTGAACGAGAAAAAAACGTCGAATAGCGCACAAATCGGCAGCAATTCCAATTCGCATCGTTTTTTTTCTGCCACACTCTCTCTCTCTATCTCACACACACACGCTCTTTGTTTGCATCTCATCAAATCAAATTAAAAGTCATTTGGATCCTTTGTTTGTTCTTCGACAACAACAATAACACCAGAAAGAGAGAGGAAAGAAGAAAAAAAATCAATCGATTTGGTTTGATCGAAGTGAGTGCATGAGAGAGAAATTTTTTTTTAGTGCGAAATTCAAAAGTGTTATTCGACACATTGAGAGAAGGACAGCGAGTTGAATCGAGCAAACCGAAAAAAAAAACAACAACATAGAATTCATTTCAATAAAACAATAGAAAACAATTTACACGCGCTACTCGTGTGGCTTTGCTTTAAATAAAGAAGAGAAACAAATAGCCAACAACAACAACTAAACTAAAATACTCATACATTCGCATATCTCAGACCCAAACGAGTGAACAAATATATCATAAACTAGCAAGTAGAAAATAGAATGAATTTGAGCAAAGAGTAATCGTCGTCGTCGTTGTTTTTTCTCTTCTTTACACTTTGCTTCTCTTTCCGTTGTGTGTACGGAACAATTCTTGCTAACTTTGTACGTACGTGTGTAAAACATCATTTTCATCGGTCGAAACGGTGACAGTGTGTGTGTATACATATATGTGTGTGTGCGCGTGCATTCGGTGTAACTTGGTTTGTGATGCGAATTTCATCAGTCAATTGGAATTGTTGTTGATTGTTCGCGTTTGGTGTTAGTCGGTATTTCGGAAGCGTTTACACATATACATCACACAGCGCACACTACAACACAGGCATGTACAGCTGTTTGTAGGGAATTGGTTGGGTGTGAGGAACAGAGACAGCCGAACCGCAATATACCGTGAGTAGAAGCAGCAAGAAACAGAGATAGAATAGCAGCAGCAGCAGCAGCAGCAGGAGAAGAAGCAGTAGTAGAAAAAAATATCAGAGAAAAAAAAGAATCGTACGAACAAAGTGTGTGCGGCGCGTTGTAATATAATTCTTTTTTAAATTTGTGTGTTCTTTTTCTACTCTCGTACTCGTCATCCATTCTCGTTTTGTACTTGAATATTATTACATATTCAAACAATACAAAATAATATTTTGACGAGACACACATAAAATCGAGGATAGAAACAAAAACAGCAACAACAACAGGAAGAGAGACAAACAACAATCAACGAGTGAGATACATTTTAAATGGTAATTTAGAAATCGGTGTGTGCGGCTTTTCATAGACTTTATGTGCAAAATACAGCAGAGAGAGAGAGAGAGAAGAAAAAACACCTCATACCACATGACAAACTAAAAAATTCCTAGTTTCAGCACTTTTTCGCCGTGTTCCGTTTGTGTATTGAAATAGTGTGAGCTCGATTGAACAAACTTTGTTCATTCCGTTTTTTTTTCTCTCTTTCTCTCTCTCTCTTTCGTTTAGTTGTTTGTGCCTACAATTTTTCGTTTTCATTTATCGAATCAGTTGTATGTGTGTCTGTTAATTGAATTTTATTTTTTTGTTTGATGAAACGATGAAATGTCGAAAAAAAACGTCTGAGTTAAAGTCAAAAATTTTCCCCTTTTTGTATCATTTTCAGTAAATTTCAGACACCGAAATTTGTGTGGTGACAACTATTTTTTTACCGAGTTTTTACGAGATATTTAATAGAGAGAGAGAAAGAGAAAGAGAAGCAACATGGATCATTTAGCCGAGCGACACTTTGAAAACTATTCACCTGAAGATGCAGAAGAGGAGCGTCGCAATTTTCTATCCGTTCTCAAGGCATTCCGATACTATAGGTAAGTCTTTAGACACTATCCCTCTCCCTCCCTCAATCCCTTGCTCACTTCATTCAAGCACTTATAACGGTGGTCCCGCGCATTGACCAGTTCATTGAATCTGATATTGACTGACAACCACTGAAATAAATCGAATTCAATTCAATTAACTTGATTGCGGTGATGATATGTGACGTATGTATTCGAATTTTTGGAATCAAATAAATCTACGAACGGTTGGGAGTTTGTCAATGACGATAAAAATCAACATCGGTTAATGGAAATTGCTTTACGCGGGATATTCACCGGCTTTAATCGAATGACTTGTGGTTTCGTTCTCTCTCCGTATATCAATTCGACATCGGTTTGTTGATTTGTACATATTTCATTCAATCTAGATCTCACAGCATGAATCGAGTAGACAAAACGGAGGCTTATCTCAGCAACTTACCATCGGAACATCAAAAAATGATGATCAAATATCGAGATCATCTGTTTCGAATTAGGAATTGCATCGGTAAATAGCAATTGGAATCAATTCCGTATACTTTTTTATGGACTTGACGAAAAAAACGTCAATCAATGCATAGAAATACGATTTTATCAAATCATTTTCACTCAATTGTTCATCATTGCTGTGCGTATTTCAGATGAAAATTTTCAAATTATCCGAAAGTTGGTGGAAGATGTTGGAAATTTGTTCGAGAATGCGAACCAGGCCATGGTGCCGAAGTCACATAACAACCGCAATGAAGATGACGATATTCGTGTGCGTTTGCAAGACATGGATAAGGTAAGAGACACCAGAGTCGGCCAGAGTACAATATAACAACCCCTCCGGTTGAATTTTAATGCATTTGAATTAATGTTATGATGATTTGATGTAAACGCTATAAATTTTTCATTAAAACTATGAATTTTATGTATGGCGTCGGAACATGTTCGGAAAAATCTTTAAAATTCATGCATTCGGAGCCATAATTCAACAGTCGGGTTGGATTTTTATCCATAATGATCGCCATTTGATGCATTCAATTGATACACACTCTTGTTTCCAGGTTCAAGTGACACTCAAGCAATTCGCACGCGACTGGAGTGCTGACGGTGAAGAAGAACGACAGCAATGCTATGCGCCGATCATCAACGAAATCGAGAAATTTTACAGTGCAGATAAATTGTGAGTATGATGATATCGCATCGATTGTTGTTTGTTTGTTTCTGGCCGTTCACGTTTTCATATCGATGAGTTTGCGCTACTGACTCTTTCACAATGTTTCACACGACGACGACTACGGACCTTTGAAACAGTAAACAACAAAATTTGGCATGTGAATCATTCTTTATCGTGTCATATCGGTCGGTCGCCGACTATTCGCCACTCTGCGCTTCGGTTGTTACTTTTCGTGTGTGTCTATACGGTGGAAAATGTGAGAAGAAAAAAAAATCTTCGTGCGCGAATGAGGAAAGAAAAATAAGCGAATTTATATATATTATTATTATAGAGAGAGAGAGTATAAAAATAACAAAAACGACGGTGGCTACGTGTGAACGACTGGATGTGATAAGTTGTGATGTTTTTGTCCTCATCTAATATGCGTGAATGCACGCTTTACGGATTTTTATGCATTATCATTGTCCATTTGGTTTAACGACAATATTGCTCTCGCCGCTGCATTTTCGAATCACTTTCTCTCTCTCTCTCTCTCTCTCTCTCTCTCTCTCTCTGATATTTCTATATTATATTATAATTCAATGTTTCTATAGAGGAACGCTTTCACCGGATGAATCATAGCAGATTTTTTTCTTCCGCTCACGATTTATTCATTATTTTTGTTTTGTTTTTTTTTTGTTCTGATCACATAGAGACATAAGCAAGATTCGCATATTGGTGCCGGGCGCTGGTCTCGGCCGTTTAACATACGAGTTAGCATACAGGGGCTACTATTGCGAAGGGAATGAATTTAGCTTATTCATGCTGGTCGCCAGTAACTTTGTCTTGAACAAGTGTATCGTTGAAAATCAATATACAATCGTAAGTATTTTATAATCGGGTTAAAAATAATTGTTTTTCCCTCTTCGGCAATATTTTTTGTTTCTGTGTAAAGAAAAAAAATCCACGTCGAATTGCACAAATTGAATCAACTTTGTAACGATATTCCAATGCGATTCTTCGATGAAACAACTTTTCACAAGGTGTCTAAAAATAGTCAAATTGCACGAAAACAATGCATGAACACGGGATGCAATGAAAGAAGAAGAAAAAAATTTGTTTGGAAAATAGAAAGGAATAACTCGAATTTTATCTCTTTTTTTTCGCCAGTATCCGTACGTTCATCAGTACGTGAACAATTTGCACCGTAAAGATCAAGTGACCCCGGTCCAATTTCCAGATGTGAGCCCAACCAAAGGTAAAATAAATTAAATCAAGATAATTGAATAAATAAATTATTTATCTACTTCGATATTTATCTCCTCTATAGCCAAGCCCAAAGGAGGGTTCAACATGGTTGCTGGTGACTTTTTGCAAGTGTATAATACATCGAATTATTGGGATTGTGTTGCCACGTGTTTCTTCATTGACTGCGCAAATAATGTGGCCGAGTTCGTTGAGACCATATACAAGTGAGTATCGTATATATGTCATCCGAATTTATATCGCGCTAGCTGTCGAAATGACTTTCACACTCTGTTTACTGATTCAATGATGTTGTTGTTGTTGTTTTGGTCAATGCCGGAATTTTTTTCATGATCGAACACGGACTCCGATATCAAACCAAAAACAATTGTAACAAAAAACATTACACGTTTTTTATCTCAATTGCACACAAGATGGAAAACACCACTGAAACCGACTAAAACCCAAGGAAGAAAGTACTAGATTTGTATAATTCAAGTAATGCGATCTAGTACAAAAATAATCCCAAATAATCCTTCGGAATTCTTCATAATTCTCAATAATACTCAATATTGCTATGCATAATACCAACACCCAATAGCTACACATAACCGTATTCCACTTTTGTTTATTGGCATTATGCATAGCATTATTGAGCATTATTGAGAATTATGGAGAATTCCGAAGGATTATTTGGAATTATTTTTGTACTAGATCGCATTACTTGAATTATACAAATCTAGTACTTTTCCCCTTGCTAAAACCAGTCTATCTGCCCGCATTGAGAAACAGTTTGGTAACAATAGCCGCCGCTTATCTGTGTGTGATGCAAACAACTAAATTGATCGACGTGTTCTTTTCTTGGTTCTGTGTCGAACCGAAAATAAAACCGTTTCGTGTGTAGCACCCACGATGTTTTTTTAGCAAAACACAATTGCAAACAGAAGAGAGAAAAAAAACACATATCAGTTGTTATCGAGTGTGCGCCTCGGGCTGTTTATTTGTCGAAGAGAGAGAGAGAGAGAGAGAGAGAGAGAGAGAGAGAGAGAGAGAGA